GTGTTAGATGAGTAGAGAGGAGACCACCCAGGAAGTCTGGACAAGGGGCCTGGCATGAGCTCTGGAGAAGAGATATTTGAGGAACACTGGGTATGCTAGTTTGTTGTCCTGAATTGCTGTAGAGAATGCTGAAAGATAATTTAAATTGCATCTTAGAAGACCCTGAAGGTTAATTTGAACTTAGGGCAGTTGTTTTAGTTTGTTTTCTTATTGCCATAAATGGATACTTGAGGCTGGATAATTTATAAGGAAAAGAGATTTCTATGACTTACGGTTCTGCAGGCTGTACGAGAAGCATGGCACCAGCATCTGCTTCTGCTCAGGCTGCTTCCACTCATGGAGGAAGGTGAAGGACAGCAGATGTGCAGAGATCATATAGCAAGGGAGGCAGCAAGAGAGTGAGGGAGAAGGGCCAGGCTCTTTTTTAACAACCAGCTCTTGAGGGAACTAATAGATTGAGAACTCCTTGCTTCCCCTCCCCAGCACACCCCACCCCCAGGACGGCATTAATCTATTAATGAGGGATCTTCCCCCATGACCCAAACACTTCCCATCAGACCCCACCTCCAACATTGGGATCAAATTTCGACGTGAGATTTTGGGGGACAAACATCTAAACTATAGCAGCAACCAACTACCATTCTAAAACTGCCATGTGAGTTTAGGATTTTAAAAAAGGGCCACATTTAGGTTAAACAAAAAGTGAAAATACAGTAAGAGAAAATACTTTCATAAAGGCTTTAAAAAGTGTTCATAAAAAGCAGTTCCTACATTTTTCACGTAAGGTTCATCAATAGATGCTAAAACTATTGGATGAAAATCTGTTGTGGAATAGGAATCTTCACAAGGATTTAAATATAATCCTACAGAAGATATATCAGTTATACAGGGGAAAATGTACCTTTACAGTGGTCACCACAATAACCAAGTGATTCAGTTTAGCAGCACCCAAGGTGGAACACCCTAACATTATGCCCCTCCTGATGTGATTTAAGAATTTTACTTATTTAGTTTTCTTGCATAAAGTGTTAAACTGGAATTTAAGCATGAGGAAATTATTAGACAAATCCTGAATGTAGTCATTCTATAAGATGATTGACTTGGGCTTCTCAAAAAGTCAGTGTCATGAACGAAAAAAAAAAAAAGAGAGAGACTTGTAAGATCTAATGACCAAATGCAATCAATGCTTGAATCTTCATTGTATCCTGGATATTCAAAGAGACAAAAGCTGGACACAGTAGCTCATGCCCGTTATCCCAGCATTTTGGGAAGTCAAAAATGGGAGGATGGCTTGAGCACAGGATTTCGAGACTAGCCTGGGCAACACAGTGAGTTCTCATCTCTACAAAAAATCAGAAAAAATTAGCTGGGCATGGTAGCATGCATCTGTGGTCCCAGTTACTTGGGAGGGTGAGGTGGGAGGATCACGTGAGCCTAGGAGGTCAAGGCTGCAGTGAGCCATGATCATGCCACTACATTGCAGCCTGGGTGACAGAGTGAGAGCCTATCTAAATAATAATTTTAAAAAATACAAAGAAAACAACAGCCCAGCAAACAGCTATAAAGATATCTTTGGGATAATTGAGAACATTTGAATATAGACTGCGTATTAGTTAACAATGCCAAATAACTGTTTTCTCAGGTGTGATAATAGTATATGCAGAAAATGTTTTGTTTTGTTTGTTTGTTTCGAGACAGAGTCTCACTCTGTCGCCCAGGCTAGAGTGCAGTGGCGCAATCTCGGCTCACTACAACCTCTGCCTCCCAGGTTCAAGTGATTCTCCTGCCTCTGCTTCCTGAGTTGCTGGGATTACAGGCACCTGCCACCACTTCAGGTTAATTTTTTTCTATTTTTAGTAGAGACGGAATTTCACCATGTTGACCCAGCTGGTTTTGAACTCCTGACCTCAGGTGATTCACTTGCCTTGGCCTCCCAAAGTGCTGGGATTACAGGCATGAGTCACCGTGCCTTTCCAAAAGTGTTTATTTTTAGGCATTGCATGCACAAATATTTAGAGGCCAAGTGTGTCATGATATCTGCAACTTTCAATGTTCAGCAAAAGTCAACATGGAGAGAGAAAGAGGACACACATGTGGCAAAATATTAGCCATTGAACAATTGGTAAATCTAGATGACAGTACACAGGTGTTTTTGTATTATTCTTTGAACTTTTCTGTAGATTTGAAAATGTTCTGCGTAGAGAGAAATCTTTTTTTTTTTTTTTTTAAATCAGGTTTTAATGAGGCTATATTCAAAAGAAACACTAAATGACGTGGCCAGTTAGTGAGAATGTAGCCTTATCTTTACCTGACCTCATTTTAATATTCCTACTCTGGCTGGGCATGGTGGCTCACGCCTGTAATCCCAGCACTCTGGGAGGCCGAGACGGGTGGATCACCTGAGGTCAGGAGTTTGAGACCAACCGGGTCAACATGGTGACACCCCCTTTCTACTAAAAATACAAAAATTAGCTGGGTGTGGTGGCGGGTGCCTGTAATCCCAGCTACTCGGGAGGCTGAGGCAGGAGAATCGCTCGAACCCAGGAGGCCGAGGTTGCAGTGAGCCAAGATCGCGCCACTGCACTCCAGCCTGGGTGACAAGTGAAACTCAGCCTCAAAAAAAAAAAAAAAAAAAAAAAAAGATATATATATTCTACTCCTATGAAATGAATATAGCATTTCTTAGCAACTTCTATTTATCTGTGAGTATATATTTTCTTGGCCTCAAAATTAAAGTAAAAAGTATCCTCTTACTCAGAGGAGGACAGGGGCAAGAGCCTGGGACCTTATTTGGTAATTAAAATGCACACATACACAGACACACACACACACAGAAATTTTGAGAGCCATTTTAATATAATTGCCTTATTAGAAACATACCTTTTAGGGAATGTTTGTCACTAAACCACATATTATTTAAATATGTACATGTTTAACATAAATACATACATAAAATTCACATGCATACTTAACACTTATGTTAAATATATTCACTGTATTTATATATGTACACAATATATGCATATATATGTGTGGATATGTGGTATGTGTGCATGTGTGTGTATGGCCAGCTACATAATTTGTGGGACTAAGGGCAAAATGAAACTGTAGGGCCCTCATTCAAAAATTAGGTGTTGGATGCTTCTAAGCACAGTCTTGTGTAACTGCACAGGTTGCATGTCCATGAAGCCATCCTGTGTGTGTGCATATATGTGTGTGTGAATATATATTTTATATAATACATATATATGCATATATGTATCTGAGAAGAAATGTTTAAAAGACTACATATAAGCTCTTCCAGGTCTCTACTATCTGTGAACTAACTAGAGATGTAACTCACAACATCCATTGCCCACTGAGTGTTCACCATAATTTGAGATTCTTGGCATGTTAACTTTTCATTACGGAATATTGAATAATTTCAATATGATTCATACTTACTTAAATTTTTTTATGTTCAAACATACACAAAAATAGAATAATGAAACTCTACCCATCACCCAACTTCAACAAATGTCAATACTTTACCTTTCTTAATACATCTAACCCCTTACTTTTTGTTTGTTTCTTTTGGTGAAGTATTTAATTGTAATTTTTTAAAAAAAGAAACAGGATCTCACTCTGTCACCCAGGCTAGAATACAGTGGCATGATCACAGCTCCTTGTAACCTCGAACTCCTAGACTCAAGTGAGCCTCCTGCTTCAGCGGCTTAAGTAGCTGGGACTACATGCATACACCACACACCCAACTAATTTTTAAATTTTTTGTGCAGATAGGGTCTTGCCATGTTTCCCAGGCTGGTCTCAAACTCTTGGCCTTGAGCGATGCTCCTGCCTTGGTCTTCCAAACTGCTGGGATTACAGTGTCCGGCCCTACTGGAATATTTTAAAGTAAAGCTCAGGTGTTACATCATTGCACTTGTAAGTACTTTAAAATGTATCTCTAGCAGATAAAGTCTTTTTTAACAAAACCACAGCATCATTGTCACACTCAAAAAATCCACAAGATTTCCTTAATTATCATATAATGGTCTGTATTGTTTCTATCTCAAAAATACAATTTTCTTTGTTGTTGAAATACAGATCCAACATTGCATTTGGTTGATATGTCTCCTTTACTCTGTAACATTTACCCCTGCGTTTTAGTTCTTCCTGGCTTTTATTTGTCCTGTGGAATTTCCTCCATTCAAGATTTGACTGATGGTATCCCCATAGTGTCCAGTTAGACCTAGAAGCTGGATTTGATCCTGGTTCATTTATTTTCTCCCAAGAATACTCCATAGGTGATGCTATATACTTTCTCTTGCATCATTTCAGGAGGAACATGATGTCTGATTGTTCCACTTTCAGTGACTTTAATATTGATCAATGGGTTCTGGTGGTACCACCTACTACAAAGTTTCTCATCAGTCTTTCACCTGATGGTTTTAGCAGCTATTGATGATTGTTGCCTGGATCCATTATTTCATTTCAGGGGTTGTAAAATAGTGATTTTCTGGTTCTGTCAAACCTCTTGCATTTATCAGCTATGATTCTTTAAGGAACTTTCTCTAAATCTGAATGGGAAAGATGGGATAAATATTTACAATTTTTAGAGTGAGTTAGTGCCCTAGCAACCTCCAAAGTTGACAAATGAGTATTTCTTTTTTTTTTTTTTTTTTTTTTTTTGAGACGGAGTCTTGCTCTGCCGCCCAGGCTGGAGTGCAGTGGCCGGATCTCAGCTCACTGCAAGCTCCGCCTCCCGAGTTCACGCCATTCTCCTGCCTCAGCCTCCCGAGTAGCTGAGACTACAGGCGCCCACCACCTCGCCCGGCTAGTTTTCTGTATTTTTTAGTAGAGACGGGGTTTCACCGTGTCACAGCCAGGATGGTCTCGATCTCCTGACCTCGTGATCCGCCCGTCTCGGCCTCCCAAAGTGCTGGGATTACAGGCTTGAGCCACCGCGCCCGGCCGAGTATTTCTTTAAATCAAGGTATGGCCCAACCAATACTTTGAAACCAGCATGTTTAGAATGGAGCAGGAAGAAACTACATTTGAAAGGTCAGAAAGTGGAAAGACTAAGAGGGCCTGAACAATAAGAGGACACAACCAAGAGGAGTTGGCAACTAACTGGATGTGGGGATTAAGGAAAGGTAAGCATCAAAGATTACCTCCAAGTTTGTTAGAAGGTGAGTAGCAGGATTCTGATGCCATTAAAGTAAATACAGGTCTCAGTCAAATGAACCCCAAGTGAAGGGGTGGCCTGCCCCTCCACACCTGTGGGCGTTTCTTGTTAGGTGGAACGAGAGACTCGAGAAAAGAAATGAGACACAAAGTACAGAGAAAGAAAAAGTGGGCCCAGGGGACTGGCACTCAGCATACAGAGGACCCACGCTGGCACCGATCTCTGAGTTCCCTCGGTATTTATTGATAATTATCTTTACCATCTTAGAAAAGGGAAGTGGCAGGATAATAGGATCATCGTAGGGAGAAGGTCAACAGTAAGACATACGAATAAAGATCTCTGTGACGTAAGTTTAAGGAAAAGTGCTGTGCCTTGATATGCATATGTAAACATTTCTATAAACCTTTTTAGTGCATAAAGAGCAGCATTGCGCTAGCAAGTCCCACCTTCAGCCCTAAGGCGGTTTTTTCCTTTCTCAGTAAACAGAACATACAATCGGATTTTACACCAAGATGTTCCACTGCCCAGGGATGGTCAGGAGACAGATGTTTTTCTCTATCTCAACTGCCAAGAGGCCTTCTTTCCTCTTACACTAGTCCTCCTCAGCACAGACCCTTCACGGGTGTCAGGCTGGGGGATGATCAGGTCTTTCCCCTCCCACGAGGCCATATTTCAGACCATCATAAGGGAGAAACCTTGGACAATACCTAGCTTTCCTAGGCAGAGGTCCCTGCAACCTTTGGCATTGTACATGTCCCTGGGTACTTGAGATTAAGAGAATGGTGATGACTTTTCACAAGCATACTGCCTTCAGGCACTTGTTTAACAAAGCATACCCTGCACAGCCCCAAATCCTTTAAACCTTGAGTCACCACAGCACATGTCTCTTGCAAGGACAAGGTTGGGGGTAGGGTCACAGATTAACAGCATCTCAAATACAGAACAAAATGGAATCTCTCATGTCTACTGCTTTCTATATAGACACAGTAACAGTCTGATCTTTCTTTTCCCCACACCAAGAGCCACATGTATTTGCGGGGTAATTTATTTGTCTCACGCTTTTACCTGTTAACATGATTTTCAGTAATTTAGAACTTAAGCGAGTAGTGGGGCCACTGTATATCTATCAACATGGTGAGGTAGAGCACGTTTGGGAGGGAAGATGTTGAATCCCATTTGGTGATGGTGAGCTTGAGGTGCTGCCAGAACATTGCACGGAAGATAGGAGGAGACTGTAGAAAATGCAAGACAGGAAAGGTCTCCACTTACATGTTAACTGTTTCTCTCTAAATGGCCATCCAGGCCTCAATGTCTACGGTTCTTGATCTGTGATTATGACATATCCAAATCTTACGTTTCTTAAAAATAGTCATAGATGAAGGGATCACGGTTGATAGATGTATGGTGACGTTATTGGCTTAAATTCTAAATCACTAGAAACTCTGTAATAGGCAAAACAGTGAGGCAAATAAAATGCTTCTCAAATAGGTATGGCTCTTACGGGGTTAATTTGATTTGGACATGTATTAATTTCTTATGGCTGCTATAACTAACAAATTACCACAAACTTGGTGGCTTAAAACAACACACATTTATTCTCTTTCTGTTCTGGAGGCCAGAAGTCTAAAATGAGATTCCCTGGGCTGCAGTTCATTGGGCAAGGCCATGCTCCTCTGGAGGCTTCCATGATGCTTCCCATATTCAGTGTTTCCTGAGGAAGCCCCTCCCATGCAGGTCTGCAGTTTTACCTCAACAGGCTTTTGCACTCAGTGGCTCTCTTCTGTGGTTTCTATCTGAAATTCTCTCCATTTTTCTAAAATAACAGCTTTATTGGGATATAATTCATATGCCATACAATTCACGCATACAGTATACAATTCAGTAGTGTTTACTATATTCAGAGTTGTGCAACCATCACTTTTCTCACCCCCAAAAGAAACCCTATACCCATTAGTATTCACTCCATTTTCTCACAACTCTAGGTAACCACTAATCTACTCTCCATCTCTATAGATTTGCCCATGCTAGACATTTCATATAAATAGAATCATACATGTGGTCTTTTTCACTGAGTATGTTTTCAAGGTGCATCCCAGCTGTGGCGTGAATCAGCATCTCATTCCTTTTTATTGCCAAATAATATTCTATCATATGGATATGTCACATTTTATGTATCCATTCATCAGCTGATGGACATTTGGGTTGATTCTACTTTTTGGCTACTATGAATAATGCTACTGTGAACTTTTGTGTACAAATCTTATGTGGACATGTTTTCATTTCTCTTGGATGTATATTCCTAGGAGAATGGCTGGATCATATGGTAACTTTTTCCTCATAACTTTGCATATCAAAATTATATCCATCTTTTTAGAACCCAAATTCAGTGTTATTTCCAAAGTGTTCGAACATCTCCCACTCAAAATGAATCTTCTCCCTAGTACTCCCATTGTTTAGTACCTAATTGTTATTACCAGTTTGTCTTAGAGCTCAGTGATTCATACATAGCACTTTTCTTCATTATACTGCTAATTTCATTACACTGTAAGAATGGGGACAAGCTGTCACTCTTGTATACCACAAAGCAGTGAGTGCACTGCTGTGAAGAAAGCAGGAACTCAAAGTTAAGAATTTTGAATGCTTGAGCCTGTAAAATGTGTCTAATTAATAATAATGTTCATTTTCAAATTTCAACAATTAAATGTTTAACAAATAACAATTGAAATAAATGTTAGAAAAACCAATTTGGTATGTTAAAGTATTTATTTTGAATTTCAGAAACTACAGTATTCTGGATTTTTAATGAAGAAAATAAGACATTTTAGAATTTCTAGATAGGACTTTGAAAATAAACATAGCACAATATACACAAAAGTAAATGACAACATGACATTAAATTTTACATTGTTTTGCAGTTTCAAATTTCATATGAATGTTCTATAACAAATTTTAAAATTCTTTTCAATGTTTTGCTTCCCTTGGTGTTCATTATTGCCTATTTATAAAGTCATAAAAGGCCTAAAAATAAGTTTTTACTCATATTGAAAGCCTGATTCTTTTTTTCTCCTTAAGATGGCGGTCTCTCACTGTGTTGCCCAGGCTGGTTTCAAACTCCTGGGCTCAAAGGATTCCCCACCTCAGGCCCCTGAGTAGCTGGGAGCAAAGGCTTGCACCACTGCACCTAGCTGAAAGCCTGTACTTTTATCCTTCAATGGACAAGAATGGAGGGATATCTCCCAGTCTCTAAGCTGGTCTAGTCCTAGTCGTAGGCCTGTAAATGTAGACCACAATCCTGGTGAAGTCATGGGTTCCATCAGTGTTATTCTGGCATTCGCAGCATAATTGTCATGAACATATTTAAAATATTTTAGGCCACTGAGCAGGTGTGGGTTGTCCTCATAGTCAGTAAGAGGAGAAAGGGAAGCCAGTTCCTGTCTAACTCCATTCCATCTGAAATTATCCATTTGGCTTTGGGATTTGACTGAATGTTGGTATGTTGGCTGAAATGACACCAAAGTATTGACTGTAATTGCAAGGGTAAAATGTACTCCTCTGTTTTATTAATAGCTACTAATAAAATTATATATATATATATATTTTTTTGAGACAGAGTCTTGCTCTGTCACCCAGGCTGGAGTGCAGTAGCATGATCTCAGCTCACTGCAACCGCTGCCTCCCAGGTTCAGGCAATTCTCCTGCCTCAGCCTTCTGAGTAGCTGGGATTACAGGCGTGCGCCACCACGCCCAGCTAATTTTTGTATTTTTAGTAGAGAGGGGTTTCACCATGTTGGCTAGGTTGGTCTCCAACTCCTGGTTTCAAGTGATCTGCCTGCCTTGGCCTCCTAAAGTGCTGGGATTATAGAAGTGAGCCACTGCACTCAGCCAATTTTATAATTTTTTTAAAACAAAAAAGTAAATATTAAACAATAGCATCCAACCATATAAACTTAAAATATTATATATATATTTACATTCATAAAAATAATTAGTTTTCTGGAGGAAGAACTGAGGCCCAGAAGTTAACTAGATTAGTGGCTCAAGCTAGGCTGCATTTTAGAATCAAGGGCAGTGATGCCCATGTCACAGTGACTAATGGCATCAGAATCTCTTGGGATGGGACCCTTTTATTATTATTTTGTAAAGCTCCCCAAGTTAAGCTTGAAAAGTGAATTAGGTAATATTAAGTCAGAGATTAATACAAGTTGTACTACTGATTATCTTACCCTAGCAAGTGTAGGTTAGTTTTTGCGATCTTCTTATGTATGCTGTTTCTAATAAAAGGGGTTGTTCTCTTGCTCAATCCAACTAAAAGGTGAGCTATAAAATCACACAGGTGATCACAACTCTATCCAAAGAATGGTGGTGCTCCATACTTAACCTCAGCGCTAGTTCTTATCCTCAGGTGCTCATCACTCATTCTTGGGACTTCAAAATAAATACAGATATCCAGAACCACCTGAGACTAGATGAATCAAAATCAATCACTAGGAGAGACGCCTGAGCATATGAACTTTTAAAAAGGTTCATGATTTTGATGCCTCACCCTGGATGGAGCTCTCTCATAGTATGCCACATGGTATGTTCTTAGCTGTATTCAGTAAAATTACATGGAAGCAGATTTCAGTTTAAGAGAAAACAACGAAAACAATTTAGAGCTACCCAGTAATGGAATGGTTTTAAAGCAGTGAGCTCTCTGTGGCTAGAAGAATAAAGGCAAAGGTTGAACTATCACTTGCTGGGAATGCTATCAAGGGGTTTCCAAATTCAGTAAATACTTGGATCACACGATATTTGAGTTTCCTCACAATTCTTAAGTTTCTCTAGCCAAAACTTCCAACAGATCACATATAATGGATACAGACATTGTCATGAAAACTCATGATTTTACCAGAAATTATCACAGTTATTTTGTTTGTAAAATGGATTAGAATTTAGTAGTACTGATGGAACACTGCCTCTGACATCAGCCTTGTTGAGGGGAATACTTTTCCCCTCCTCTTCATGCTTGGATGGAGGGAAGGGAAATTCTCTTTGCTCTTTCAAAGCAAGAAGTGTAGGAAAAAGTTCTCTGAACCCTCATTCATTCCTTCCCAACAGAGAACTGTCTCATCCCACAGGTGATACAAGAAGGAACTAAGCATGTGTGGTCCAGTCCCTGGTGGTTTCCCTGACCTTGAAAGCTAACTGGTCTCAGAATGCAAAGATGGGCTCTGCCCCAACAAGACAGAGACCTGCTGTTCTCTCCAATCAGGGAGAAATATTAGAGTGTTCAACTGGAGAAAAAGTCAACCTTCTTCTCTATTTCAGTTTATTCACTGATAAAGTGGATATTTTTCTCTTCCTCTGACTCCCATTTCTTATCTCTCAATTTGTTCCAAAGTGAAGAGGGGAATAAGATAATTACCTGTTGGTGTCCTTAACACATGTATCACAATACAGCAATAAATTGTAACTGTCCATCTCTATGATACTGGTGTTCTGAAATGCCATTGCATTATTTTTTTCAAGTCAGTGAACACTCATACTCTAAAGTACGAAAAGAACAAAACATTATATAAAGTCCCTCTTTCTTTACTGGCATAAAAAATTTTGGATTTCCAGCTGCTGAATCGTCCATCCCTAGGAAATAATAACACTTTTCGAGTTTCTACTTTTATTGGGGATAATCTCAGTCATGATCTGCAGAAGTTGGTCCTGGACAATTTGAAGATAGGTCTTCTTTATCTGTAAGTTATGTGAGGGAAATGAAAGATTAATACACCTTCTCCAGTAAACTATTCTAGAATATTATTTCAACATAACATGCATTTTTTGATCTGATGTTTTCTACTTATTCTGCTAAACAAACCAGAAAAGATAAAAACAACAATAACCAAAAATGCTTCACTCTCAAGCACAAAGTTCTTAAATACAAGTTAGCAAAGGTAGCTTGGGAAAAGGTGTTAGAAGGAAAAACACTGGGCTCTGTAAGACACCTAGTAAGTGTAAACCATTTCTATCCTTACAATGGGAAAAAAAAAAAAAAAAGGAATAGATTTCAACATATCTGATTTCTATGGTTTAGGGGTAATTATCTAACTATATAAACATTAGCTCTTAAAATTTTAATATAAATTCTTTCAAATATCTGTAGCCAAAGAAAGAATCTTTAAAAATAAAGCACAAAACATTCATCATCCTCAGGTTATTCTAAAATTATTTCTTTTGAAACAAAACACTGAAAAATTCCCTTTCACACATTCAGTTTAAAAGTTAAATGCAATTTTCATAAAGCCTCAATTATTTCTATATCCACTACTTAAGACATTGGTCCCACATTGCCATTTGAATGGAATAAGAAATCTCCATTGTCAGTGGGGGAATGACTTTAACTAAAAATTGGAGAGTATTCATCTATTTTTAAAAAGTATAAAGCATTTTCTTACCTTCATAGGCTGTTCCACACCAAATACAATACAGATGTTCTTCTCTTAAATAACTAGTCAATATTTGTAATTTTTCCAGTACCTAGATATAGGATACAAGCACATTAATACTTTACATTGAACAGAACCTTGGTTTTCTGGCTCTTAGATCATGCTGAATTAGCTCAAGGCTGTAAATATTCTGCTATACTCTGGAATAGTTATTAGAAATGTCAAGGGCAGAACTGATATATTTGAATGTGTTCCAGTTCATTAGCTACCCTGAGATTTTCACAAGTCTGCCAGACACAATAGAGACTGCTTGTTAACATTGAGAAAATAGTTTTTGGGTGGCCTTATTATAATCAGCATCCTTTAAAGGCTTTTTCTACTTTCAAGGCATCTACCTCCCCCAGATAAGGTGAAGGTGAATATTGCCTCCTTTTGCCAAAAAAGTTCTTATCAGTGGTCTCCCAATTAAGTGGAATATAGATTTTTCAAATTGTGAATGTTTTCTACAAAATTATTACACTCAAGTAACCATAGGGGTGTATTTTCCTTTTTTGAATAATCTCCATTTCCTTTTTTTTTTTTTTTTTTGAGACAGGGTCTTGCTCTATCACCTAGGCTGGAGTGCAGTGGCGTCATCTCGGCTCACTGCAACCTCTGCCTCCCGGGCTCAAGTGATCCTCCTGCCTCAGCCTCCCAAGTAGCTGGGATTATTGGGTGCCCCACACCTGGCTAATTTTTATATTTTTAGTAGAGACTAAAATACACCACCATGTTGGCCAGGCTGGTCTTGAACTCCTGACCTCAACTGATCCACCAGTCTTGGTCTCCCAAAGTGTTTGGATTACAGGTGTGAGCTACTGCGCCTGGCCTCCATTTCCTTTTGATTGTGTTTTTTTGTTGTTTATGAGTAGGAGAAAAAAAAGTACACATTAGAATCACTTGTAGAAGTTTTGCAGGAAATAAGGTATAAATTAAAATAATTTACATTTGTTGCTAATTCATCATCCGAACTGTAGCTGAGATGAGAGGACAAATGGAAGCTAAAGGGAAAAATTATATGTAAGTTTTCATTTGGGGTTAATAAAATAATCCTGCAACGCAGTACCTCTCAACCAGGGGTTATTTTTCCCCTCTGGGACATTTAGTAATGTCTGGAGAGGGTTTTGGTTGTCATAAGCAAAAGTGCAACTGGTATCTGGTGGGCAGAGGCCAGAGATGCTGCTAAACATCTTGCGAAAAACAGGACAGCTCCCCACAACAGTGGATTACCACAACTCAAAGTGTTAATGATGCCAAGGCTGAGACACCCTATGAAGGAAATGGTGCCA